CTGTCAGTTAGCAGCCTTCCAAGTCACACATGGTAGCTTTATGCGCACCAGATTGCTTTAAGTTAGGGAAATATATTGAGTGTTGGCGTGATCACCATGAGGACATTTTGCGATCGCATCCATAATACTGTTGTCGTGGTGGTGGTGGTAGGCGTAGCGTCGGAAGTTCGGTCATCGGTGGTGAAGGTAATCGTCGTGGAGCTTGCACAGATGTGACGATGAGGACGCTTGCAGAAGCTGGGCCGTCGTGTTGTTATTACACTAGGTTCGAAAATGTCCGTCGAGGCCGATGCATGTGCAGAATGTCTGTTGGCAGTGTGGACATGATGAAGGGGATTGCATACTGACATTGTGGGTCAGAGGTGCCCCGAGAATCGTGGGCCGCTCTTTTGGCTTGAAATTGACAATGTAGCTGGGTTCGTAGATTGCTATTCGGGTCTTCATTGCTCTTAGCCGAGTCAGTATATCCTGGAGCAGCTTTTCCCAGGTGTCCGGACTGTTTTTCCGATGCCTGAGAGAGACTTTCAAGATGTCATAATAGCGTCAAGTTTGTCTTGTTGGTGAGGACCAGTAGAGGCGCCGTCTTAGAAGAGTCTCTTGAGTAGGCACTCCTTATCCACTCTCGCGATTTGACCGCCACAGCGCAGTGCGAGTTGTCTCAGCATAGCACGGATTCTGAGGATTCCGGTCCGCTCCAGGAATTCCGTGTCATGGATCCTGCGTTGCCACCTCAACTTAAGTATTCTTCGAGACTGCGAAAGTGTCGATGGTTCAGTGTCCTGGCTTGATTGGCGTAGATTATCCATCTTCCGCCTCATAGAAGTTTCATCAGAACTGCTGCTCCAACTAGCGCCGTCTTCGTTTCCAGTTGGTTGCTCTGCGGATTGTTTTAAAAAGACTGAGCGTTCCAGGTTGCCAGATTTGGCAGAGTCACTAACAGCCTGAGGAAGGGGGGAGGGTGCGGGATGATGGGGACAAGACTTTTTGCTTATTGTGTGGTTTTGACCTTGAGTTTTATATCTACGAGCCACGGTTAGGTCGTAGATGACGTGATCTCAGAATTTGCTTAGGACACTTTATGTGACCCCTTCCCCCGCTAAGGGGGTAAAAAAGGCCGCCCTTATATAGGGATGATTAGGCGTCCCAGATGGGTGTACACCACACACTGTTTACACAGTTTTCTTGTGGGAATTTAAGAAGGTTTGCTTCTTTTTCTTGCCCGCATTTAGTTTAACCCCGTATGCTTAG